GACTTTAACGCGACGTTCATAAAGAAACAAAACTTGTTGAGACAACGGGAAAAAAGGTAGACGTATAATCCAAAATGGAAGCTTTGTTGGTGGTTCTTTCCCACAACATATTAACGGGGTCGAACGAAGATAGAAATCTAGCCACTTTGAGGGTTCTTTACAGTTTCACTGTTGTTGGCGGATCTACACCCTGATAATATACTCGATCCTCTTTCTTAGATGTCAACGTTTACAAAAATTAACCCGACTTGCATTAACGCGAATTTCAATATCATGAAGCGTTAATTTCCTATAATAAGGTATACGAGCTGTTTTAAAAACAATTCGTGCCGTTAGTTTTCACGAGCCTTTCCGCATATAAGAGGCTTCAAAAAGAGCCCAGTTTTTTTTTCTAAGAGCAACTTGCAATGTAAGATAGATGACACTGGCAGGATAGTGCGTGTGTGTGTTTTTCTTTCAGCACTTCCACTGTGAGTCAAGCTTTAGTTCTTTTCCACTCGTTCTGATGTTACCAGAGTTTAAATGTACAGTCGACTCCCGATAACTCGAACCCGGAAATCGATTTCCCCTGGATTTCTCTCGCACATTTACTGTAATTTTACCCCTCGGTTACTAGAACCCTCGATATTTGGAACCTCCCGGACATATAATTTTACCCTCGATAACGTGAACCACTAGTTTAGGTGCTTAAAAAGGCGGGAAAAAACGGTGTACTGGCCTCCGAAACATTGATTTTGAATTTCCCATTGACGTGTTGTAGGCATATCAGGCTGATGTTGTTGTCACAAATCTAAACGTTAAACGGTTTTACTTCTCAAACAGTAAAACGCATGCTCTATTTAGGCTATGTTTTGTTACTCACGTTCTGATTTATAGTCTAGAAGTATCTCTCAACTTTCACTTATAACATTTCTACAATTAAATGTGATTAAAATGTTCAATGTACTGTGAAAACTGGTTTTTCCCTTAATTCCAGCTATTTGCTTCGAGCTCCCGATAACTCTAACCTTTTTCGATTTCCTTGAAGTGTGTTTAAAACACATGGACCATACGTCATTATACACATGAACACGCCCTTCAGAAGAGTTAAGGACAAAATCTGGGAGTGGTTGAAAGGGGACACTTAAAAACTTTCTGAATCCCGGCTAACATATTGGTCTTTTAATCTTGGCAAAAAGTCGTGTCTTGAATGGACGTTTATTAAAATTTCATGGCAAAACCTCAGCGTGTAAGACGCACTAGAGCTCTGCTGCACTTCTATTGTGCTCGTGTTCTTATAAGTTCCCGTGGACTTTTATAGCAGTTATTTTGGCACGCTTTTCATTTCTTTAGTGTACATTATCCTATTGTAAGTGCCTGACAAAAAAAGGTTAAAAAAAGTTCATTTAACAAAATGAACGAATACTAGATTCGGTGAATGAATGTGAGAGATGTGATGATAGTGACCTCTTTCCCACGCTTGGCTCCTGAACATGCTTGTAACGCCACAAAATGTAACATTATCACGAAGTGTAACGCATGACGTGAAATATACTAAGTGTTAGAGAAAGCCAGAGATTATGCGTAAAGAAATATCTAAACATATAAACAAAGGCCGTCAAACTGTGTTGGAGTATGCTCTTTTTAGGGGTCAAATAGAGCCTAAGCCATGCCTAGATTGGTCTCCCTTTTCGACTGGTATGCAAGTTATTCAGTTATTAGCCTGAGTATCAGGCGTTTCTGGAGAAAAGGGGAAAGATGGAAGCGAAAAAAAAATCTCCTCTCCCCTATCCCCTTAGGAAGGCCTGGTACCCAGGCTATTCAGTTATTATGTAGGCTGAGTATCTTATGAAGAATTATGGAGATCAAGGAGGGTGTTATCCGTCGAGGCCGTAAGCCGAGGGGATAACACCCTCCGAGATCGCCATAATTCTTCATATGATACGAAAGCCGAATTAAATAATTGTTTTTGTTATTCATTCAAAATAATTCCTAGTTTAAAAACATAGCTAAAACATGCTTACCTCCATCAATGTTAATTTCAACTTCGATAGTGCACCTTTAGGGTTTTTAAGCTCCGCAAAGATTCTTCAAATAGCAAATGTCGCCCTTCGAGTTGTCATCTTGCTGTTCTTGCCATGTTTTTAGCTATTATTTCGCCTAGTTCTTACTAGAAACGAGTGAAATGTCCGCCACTTTTGTTTTCACAACCAAAACAACTCAACCTCGTCCCCAGGTATTCTCGGTTAACGGTCAATTAACCTGCAAGAAAGCTGCATTTTGACGTCATCGGTTCATTAATCGCAAAATTCTTCCAAATTTGGTCATCAGTAGTAGCTGGTTATGGTGAATTATGTGTGTGCTTTCAGCCAATCAGAATCGGGGAAATATTTTGAATGAATAATAAACATATTTATTATGTTGGAGTCCCTTCCCCCCTTTCTCCTTCGTTCAAATTCTTCTCCATCTCTTTCCTTTCGCTCGTCACGACTGATTAAGGGCCAGGAATAAAAAGGCTCTTTCTTCTTGTAAACTTTGCCAGTGCCATTTCTAGGTGGCGCGCGAGACACGCTCTGCGAAATGCCGCGAGCTTCCCAAACTACCCAATATGTTTCACAGCAGATTTTAAGTCAAGAATCAAAATATTTTATTTTGGACATACCAGGAAACCTTATTTTAAAGGGGCTGTGTCGCGGCAATCCAGTTCATTTTGTTTAATTTTGTCCATTACTCGCCCTCAATATGGAACTTAAAGTAAGCAAAGAAATTACATGTAGATGACAAAATCAGAGATCCGAGACGAACAAATATGTCTCCTGAGCATTATTTTTGAAGTTGCAAGCAGCAGGGATCAACTTTGAAAAACTGTTAGGCTGAACAGTTTTCCAAAACCCTAATTTCAATCCGTTTCAATCTTCGTCAGTTTTGCCCATCCGTGGCATCTGCTGTTTCTGTTATGTTATTTTAACCTTCCTTTAAAGTTTTAAGCGGTTATTTTTATGTTTCTCTTAATTTAACAGGCATTTTGTAATTTCCTTATTTGGCTGAATTTCGTGACACAGCTCCTTTAAGTTTAATTCTTTTGGAGAATCATTCGGTTCTCATAATCTAAAGTAGATGTAACTTGTCATATATCAGTACCAGACATAACATTGAACATCTACACGTCTCTAATAAGCCACTTTCGATATATTAAAATTCAGTATGATAGCGAGTCTTTTTATTAAATTGACCTAAGTTGTAAAAAGGTCGAAACACTTTTCCTGAAAAAAGCTATTTTCCTAACTTCAAAACGAACAGAAGTAATTTCTCCCGATAAGGGTCGCAAGGAAAAAAGCAGCCACCCAAAATGCAGAGATCTTGAGGCTGATTGCGGGAGGTTGTTAGTTGTTACTAATCATTAGGAAGTTTAAGATGCCCACAACGACGAGAACGGGAACGTCAAAAAAGCAATAGATTGAATAGAAAAAACAACTCTGCACGTGCGTCACGCTTTTTTGTACATTTGTTTGCCGTCACTGAACGACTACAACGTATAGTGAAAATACCTAAGGGGCTATTCATGATACCGGAATGACTTTCATTCTGGAACGAGTTCATTCCATCTCTATATATTCCTCTGTACCTCTTTATTTGATACCGAAGCGACATTTCGTTTCCTTACAAGTCATTTCGGATTTCATTCCGAATGAAATTCTCGTTTTGGTAAGAAATTTCACTGATTCTGGTATTATGTACTGAACTTCGTTCCGAATTGGCCACTTTCGATATATAAAAATTCAGCATGACAGCGAGTCTTAGAGGACACAAACAAAGAAAGTGAGTCAACATATTCATTTTCCTTTTTCGTGTCCTCTAAGACTAGTTATCGCTATCACGCTGAATTTAACACGAAAACGGCCTACTGAAAATTGCAAACCGAGTAGTCTGGGGCCTGTGGCGCATGCGTATCTGATCTGGCGCGAGAGAGAACGCCTTAGGATGATAGAGCGTTTTCACATGACGTCACGGTAGCCTGCCGCTTGGAAGTAATGGGCGCAAGAAAGAACGCGGCGCGCGAGCTCTCTCGCGCCCCGTTCTTTCCTATGTCGGTTACTTCCAAGCGCCTGCTACGCAGGGTAACGTCACGGCGGCCATATTGGTTTCCAAAACAATGAAACGGCGGCCATGTTGGTGTACCAAAGCAATCCTGTGAGAGTTGAACTCTTTTCTTATAAACAATTTCGTTTGTTGTCATAAATTTGCAAAGATGTTGGCCACGTGAGTGAAAATGCTCTGTAGGCTGTTATCATGTGAATGCAGTACGAATTTCATTCTGGTACGAAACTCGTCCCGAAAGTCACTCCGGTATCACGTAAACAGCCCGTAATATCATGTTTTGTGGACGACGCAGACATGGTACAACGAAATCTTCTTTCTCTTTCTGAACGTGGATATGGTTGTTGGGAATTCAGCTTTGGAAGAGTTCGTTTGCATTAGACAAGGTAAGCGAGTTGGAATAATCGCAATAGAGATTGAAAGAACGCGAATTCACTTTTCATGCGAAGTTTCCGGCGCCAACGCTGCCGTGGTATCTTAAACTCTCTAATTAGAGGAGGATTAGCTTACGGTACTTTGGCTAACAAAACCAATTTTGGTACTTTGCACAGACGTGCGCGCGCACGTGGAGGTTTAACTGTACAATACTATTAACAGTCTGTCAACTACAATCTCAATCTTGCAGACACAATGTAGCAGAGTTTCTCTATAAAATTACATAATGGAGCTGATTGTAGTGTCGGCAGACATCACACTTTGTTCCGAGCTGTCTGTTCTATCACTGCCGCAGATACTGGGCTCCTTTTGATTGGCTGGGCACTCAAAATGGACACAATGAAATACCTTTCAAAGAAAAAAAATGAAGATTGTTAAACAGTGGACAGCTCTAATAACATTCACTGTCATCAGTGGACAGCTCTAATAACATTCACTGTCATCAGTGGACAGCTCTATTTGAACTTCCATACAACCTCTGTATTTACAGATTATCATAGGTGGCTGCGACACTTTCAGATAGGATAGGATAGGATAGGATA